AGGGATCTAAAGCACTGCTTCCTAGCACAAAGCAACACCTTTCCAGACATACCAGGTTTTTCAGATTCTGAGGGTTTAACCAAATTAATGTGCTGTAAGCCATGTTTGGAAGTTTGTTGGAAAAAATTGTTGTAAAAAGGCTATAGGCTAACACTGAATAAAATCTAACTCAGTATGCTGAATCGATAGTTTGTGACAACTGTCATAACATGCAATACACAATACAATTAACAACTGATTTCCAGTACAGTGATCTGTGCTTCTCCTCAGTATTTATACAATTGACAAGAAGCCTATTACGGCATGGGCTACATAATAGGTACTAGTATTTTTAAAGAGGACAGTGCCAAAAACATGGTCTTTTCACATTAAATAATACTGTATGTAATAATATTTGTATATTGATCGTTACACTAGGGAAATGAACAGATCATTTTAATTCACCTGAATACCCCAGATCTTCATGTGTTGCTCAGGTGTGTTTTCAATCACTGCCTGAAACAGCAAAACTAGATTCTGTACAGTGCATACACTTCATGGGTCTTCCAGATTTGAATAGTCACTTGACACTTGTAAATGCAGACTGCATCTGCAAGGACCACTCTGCTTATAAACTTGCAGCTAAGGAGGAAGAGAAGTATTCTCTTTTCCTTCTGGTGTAGCACAGCACCCCACTGAACATACCAGTTCACTTCCAGACCTCCCAGAGGCTAGAAACAGACCTTTTTCTTTCTAAACAAATGGTAGTATGTAGACCCCATTTTTCCCATACAATCTTATCAAATACCCATGATGTGAGTGAGGCTAGAGATAAATTTGGAGCTTCACCACTTTTCTTTGCCAAGTTGTCCAGTAAAATGGAAAGAATTGTTTTTTACCCAGATGTGGTCCTGAAAGGAGAGCATCTGGCTCAATCAGTTCTGTTTCCCAAACTCTGGCACGCATCCACTGATGCATCTCAAGCAAAAACAGGGACTTCATCCTCCTGCTTTACTCAGCCTTAGTGAGGCTGCAGCTGGAGTACTGTGTCCGGTTTTGGGCCCCCCACTTCAGGAGGGACGTGGATAAACTTGAGAGAATTCAGAGGAGAGCCACCCATATGATCAAAGGCCAAAAGTGCGAGCCTTAGGAGGAGAGGCTGACGGACATGGGACTCTTCAGCCTGGCGAAGAGAAGGATCAGGGGGGACTTGGTGGCAGCCTATACGTACATACAGGGGTGCACCAGGATCTGGGAGAACAGTTGTTCACCAGGGCATGCCAAGGGATAACAAGGTCTAACAGCCACAAACTTCTGGAAGGCCGATTTAGACTGGACATAAGAAAAAACTTCTTTACTGTCCGAATGTCCAGGGTCTGGAACAGATTCCTGCCAGAGGTGGTGCAAGTGCCTACTCTGGACTCATTCAAATGGTGTTTGGATGCTTATCTTGAGGGGGTCATTTGACCCCAGCAGACTTCCTGCCTATGGCAGGGGGGCTGGACTCAATCTCACGAGGTCCCTTCCAGCCCCTAATGTCTATGAATCTATGATATTTAGATAGGTTATATCCTGATTCTGGAACAGGATCAATAGGAGTTTGCCCTTGTACCTACAACAAGAAACTTTGACATCAGTGGATTTCTGGACGAAAAAAAAATCAACTTGCAGGGTTCAGCTTCAGGATACGGGCCTTAGTTTCTCCCCGCTGAATGCCTGTACAAACCTGATGAACACACGAGTCCAACAAAATCCCTTAGAACAGAACAACATATAGCAATCACAGACGTTACTTAAAATTACAAGTCTCAACATTTGCACATAGAATTTAATCTTCAAATTAAGGAAATCATTAAAATCTTCACTACTAACCTGAAAAGACAGAACTTTAAACCATAATAAAAAGTGGACATTTACTACAATGGGACCAGTAAGGACAAAGGCTTTTCACATATGCACAAAAAAGATTTTTAAACACAGATACAAGCCAATATGTCTGGAGAAAAAAAGTTCCAGACACAGGTCTTTAGCTGAAAGAAGGCATTGGGAAAGAGGCATTCTGAAAGCAATCCCAAATCCCAAGACTGGACACTAAGGCTGTGCTAGCCTACAAGGAGTCACCAGCTGTTTTATTTCCCCACATTACATAGCTATGCCGTGCCACGCCGTGCCTGAGTAGACAAGCCTCTTCTACACATCAGCAGTGTCAAAGATATGGCTGGGTTGGATCTGGCTCGTGAAGCCCCATTATCTAGACCCCAGTGCTGCCCCCGCATTTTGAGTTGATCCACAAGGCACTTGCCCCACCTGGTTCAGCACATATGGGACCAGTTTGGGACATACCCCTCCTCATCCCAAATCCAGTGCCCCTGGCACTTGCTCCAGCCAATCCAGGATTTTTGCCACATGGACCAGCTGGAGCAGGTACCACATGCAGTGTGAGTCCTGGACTGGCCACCAGATCTGATATACTGGAAATAGGTGGGAGTGAGAGGGGAAAACAGGGCCAGATGAGCTTGACACCCCGTTATACAATTTTAATGCAACTGTAAAAGGAACATTGCTCCCAATGCTGTATACTTCAGTGCTAGAAAAATCCTGACAGACTGGAGGGAATACAAAAAGCAAATAAAAATAATTAGGGGCTGGGAAGAACTTACATAAAGAAAGATTAAAACTGCAGAAGGGGAGGACAGCAATGCAAGAAAAAAAAAAGTTTAAGGATGAGACCATCCTCACTAGAGAAGTTATTTAGGGTGCTACCTGTATACCCACAGTAATAAATCTGCTACAGATGTGAAATCCATTCTTTTCTCTGGAACCTAAAATGTGATAGTTACCACTTCCCCTGCATAATGCAGTGTAAAAATATGGATCCAAATAAATGCCATATAAACAAGGCAATCATTATGTGAATTAAGTATTTTTTATAACATCAGCCACTGATTAAATGCCCAGTTCAGCCAGGCACTTCAGTATGTTCTTCAAGCTTAGCACAAATCATCCCATTTAAGTCATTTCAACTGTCCTGATCTGGGGGTCCCAGAGCACTCTGGTTCATTTAAGCAGCTTCCTGTCTCAAATTCCTGTATATATAAGCTTATAAACAAAACAGAGACTAAAGGGTACATTACTATTTCGTTACATGATAAGCAGTAGTTTTGCTTTACCATTTCTGAAAGCTGACTGGATTGAGTCTCGCCCCCCCCAAAATCACCTTCTGAAAATCCCTTTGTAGCCAAGACACAAAAATAACATACTAAAACCAATTTTCTATAGAGCCAAAGATCTCAAGCTCAAGAATCCTGGGTACAAACACTTGTTTCCTTTTGAAGCCAGTATATTTATATCTGCCTTTTCCTTCCTTCAACTTCAGATCATTAATAAACTAGTATCAAAATCTTAGTATTGTGCATGACAGGATTTTTCTAGGCTGCACAAATAGCTTATTTGAAAGGAATTGTAGGTACAGCTAAAAATCAGATCAGATATAGTGTAAGACTTATTTTATTTGAGCAATTACGTCAATCAGTGTAAACCATATTGCTACAGGAACAAAAATGTGATTACTGACACAAGTTTGTGATTATTGATGAGCATTTCAGACTAAGTGTTAGCTCATTGTGACCGGAGAGTTTTAGGAGTACTCAGTTAGGACAGGTACTGTAAAACTATTTACCCACTAGATATTAAAGAAATTAGCTTTTTGGTAAAGCCAGCTATTTTATACCTCTTGGTTCAGGTTTCCTTTTCACTGTAGCTCACACAAATGGGTCCTTTGTCCAGGTGTGAAACTCAAGGTTATGGGGATATACCATGATGCTGCCCACAACTCCTCTCCATTCGATGCTGAAAGACCTGGCGCAAAGACAAGCCCTGATTCACTCGAATTGAAGTCAGCGGACTAAACTGCAATCTTGCTCGGGAACAGCTACACCGACTTCAGCAGAACTATGCATTTAAGGGAAGGCTACAGGATAAACCTCAATTCAAAAATAGGGTCATTAGTATTACCTGTAAAACTGGGGAGCTCCCTGCAAATATTCCCAGAAATCAACATCCTCCTACTCAACCCATGAGTAGGTCCTAATTTAGCATGCCCAATGCCAGGCACTCGCACTCAGGCAGAAGAGGAACAAACATGTGTAATAATTACTAAGGAATAATTCACTCTTGCAATGCTGTCATTAACGTTTGACAGCTCAGATACAGAATTTTCTTGTTGGCCCTCTTAGGTTTTCCTATCAGGAGTTTTCTACTCGCCCCAAAAAACCACGTACAAGTGCTCTCCGCCTGCCTCAAGTCAACGTCTGCGAGCCAACACCAACATGAGGATGTGCAGCAAATAAGGGGCCAGCTTAGCTTTCAGTCAGCAATAACCCATGGAGGGTCACGTACGTACGGTCCCTAACACTGCAACTGTGTTTTGCAATATCGGGTTGTCTTTGGCTAGTGCAAAATCCACTTCACCTCCGGGTCTGCGCAACCCCATGACACGCCGGCCTCTCCGAACCTTGACAAGCCCGACCAGACCCTTCGCTCAGTCAGAGATCCCCGGTCAGACGGACAACGCTCTCGGCACGAATTGGAGACGTTATTTCACAAGGGCTCACATCATCCCAGCCCAAGCGGATTGGAAACCCCCCCCGGACGGAGACACTACAAGCTCTCGGGAAGCCTGAGTGTTTTACCGCCCTCCTAGCGAGAAAGTTTTTCCTTGATATCCAACCTCAGCTTCCCCTGCTGCCATTTGGGGCTAGCTGTTCTGTTATCTGCAGGCGGGGGAGATTTGCTTGGATTACACCCGAGCCGGGAGGCAGGAAACACGACCGCCAGCCCCCCGAGGCTGCCCCGTGCCACCCCCGACCCAGACCAAATCTTCCCCCAGGTCGAGCCCCGGGAGCCAAGCTGCAAACCCGGCCCCAGACCCACGGGTGTGGGGCTCGCCACCCCCCCACGCCCAGCCCACGTGCCCGGGGACCGGGGGGTGCTCGACCCCGGGGGGGGCGGCCGGGCCTCACCCAGCTTCTCCACCAGCTTCAGCATGACGCCGCCGATGTGCACCTCGCCCGTCACCCGCAGCGTCACGTCGCGGCCCAGATCCGTGACATGGACGTTGAGCTCCCATGTCCCGTCCGCGTAGCAACCGTCCGGCATGCGGATGCCGTCCAGGGCCATCGCGTCGTGTGCCGCTCCCGGTCTCGGGGTAATGGAGGCGCCGTCCAGCCCGAGCGGAGCGGAGAGGAGCAGCCTCGCCCACCCCCGCCCCCGGCCGCCGCCGCCTGAGGGGGCCGCCGCGAGGGGAGG